GAAATGTAAATTGTATATTTAATAATAAGAAATTATCAGTAGCTACATGGAGGTCATTAAATATAAAAAGAAATGCTTTCCTCCAAGTAGTGAAGATGCAAGAAGGAGTAACTATGACTTGAAGTATTAAATCTAAAATACTTAATTGTGATGCTTTAAAATATTTTAAAATTGTCTTAACACAATTGCATCTATTAGCCATATATTGTTATGATGTCCTGTAATGAAGAAGAATCAAATATCAAAACACGATTATGTATGTAATCAAATATATAAACATATATTATTTAAACATTTTAATGACTTTGATGAAATAGATTTTAATACACCTCATAAATGTATTAATAATGATGAAATGGTTATAAATTACAATAAAGATTTATTGGTTATGACCATTCGTTTAATGATAGAAGACAAGATATATATTATCAAATCATCAAAGAAAAAAAAGGATATATTAATGATGTTGATATATGTCAAGATAGAAACATAGAATTAAATTATATTTACAAAATAAATAAATACAAAGAATTACAAGAGAAATTAACACAAAGTAGAGAATTAATTTAAGTAGAAATAATACCTGTAATATTATCAATAAATTAATACATAAAGAAACATTAAGATTAAAAACACTAAAATTATATTTAAACTTCCTCTATCAACCAAAAAATATTACGAACAATCATTATTAAAAACATGAAATATCTATGTTCTACATATTCAACTCTGTGGGCACTTTAGAAGAATGAATTTCTAATTTTATTTCATTTTGTTCGTACTTTCTTCATATTCTTATGCTTATTCTTTTTATTTTCTCATTTATTTGTTATTTTCTGTAATCTTTATATTCATTCTTCTTTTTATTATTTATCTTTTATATTACCTTTTCTTTTTATTACGTTCTATTGTCTTTTTATTAGTGTATTCTATTATATCTTTTTTATTTCTTTCTTTATTTTATCATTATACTCTCTCTTATTATGTATTGTCTTATTATTTTTCTTATTACCCCCAACTTGCTCTTGCTCTTCTTTATTTGTATTCTTATTTCTTTGTCAATTATTTCATTTTCTTAAACCTATTTATTATCCCTTTAATATTCTATATTCTCTTTATGTTATGTTAGACGCTTTTCTTACTTATATCCTCTTCCTTTCCTTTTATTTATTACTTCTCTCTATCTCTTCATTATTCCTTTTTCTTTGTTTCTTGTTTCATTATTCTTTTATCACTAAATTATTTGTTTTGATTTTTTTAGTTTGAAGGTTTTATTTATAGTTTTAAAAATGAAGTAGTGATACCAAAATTATAGATAATTGGTTTTGAATTTAAATTACTTTTATTTTTTATTTTAGAGATCTTGTTGATATTTTTTTTTAAAAGTAACTGAAAAACATAACTTTTATTGCTATTCATTGTAAACACGAAATCAAAATTTTTATGAAGAAAAAAGAAACTTGTAAAATAATAGTTTAACTGAAAAATCGAAGGAAACTGAAAAAAAATACGAAACAATATAATAACTATCAACAGATGAAATAAGATTCTAAAATAGTTTTAAAAACTCAATAACTAGTCTAGATCTTTAACTAATAATTAAAGATTAAAATATACTAATTGATGTCACGTTGGTATACGGATATTTCTATAGTCACAAACAATAGTAAATTATTAAAGTCAATTGACGATGAAGTTAAGTGCATAACTCTTATTTCAGAAAATGAGTACCTCATTGTTTGTAAAAATGGTAAAATTCATTGTGTTAATGAAAATGGGTCGGTTGAGATTGAAATTGAAGGAAGTGCTATCGGCTCAATATTGTTTAATGGGAAATATTATATTGCCTCACCAACAAAATTATATCTTTTAGAAAATAAACAAGTAAAAGAACAACTTAGTTTTTCAAACCAGTGTAGTGTTATAGCAGCTTCAAATGACAAAATATTTGTTGGACTTGATGGAAAAATAGTAAAAGTCTATAACGAAGAATTTAAAGAAGAAAAAGAGTTTGATATTCCTGAAATAGTTGATATCAAATGTAATGGTAATACTGCTATTATTATTACAAAGAAAGGTACTGAAATTATTAATGCTAATAATTATGAGTCTCTCTGTCCTGTTTACTTTTCTGGGGGAAGAATGAAAGTGTATGGGATACCTAATTCATGTTGTATTACTCCAGATGGGGATTATGTTTTGGTTGGAACAGAAAATGGAAAAATTACTTCATTGGTTAAGGATGATACTCAATTTACATTTTATGCCCACTGTAACAGAGAAACGAACACTACATATAATGTCACTTCTATTAATTATTACAAAGAAAATGTCATTATTTCTACTGGAATGGATGGAGATATTAATGCTTGGAATCTAAAAGACAAAAGCATTATTTCTTCAGTTCAAACAAAAGAAGAAATTGTTTGTGGGTCTATTGTTAACGGAAATTTTGCATATGTAACTAAAAGTAAAGATAAATACAATATTTTTACACTTGAAATTGAACAATTATTAAACGAAATAAAAAAAGTTCCTTACCAACAAAAGAAAACTAATAGGTCTAGAAGAAAGAATATTTCAATAGCAGAAGGTAAAACAAAAAATAATAAAGAGAAAAAAGAAAAAATGGTGAATAGGCGATTAAGAAAAAAGGTAAGAGAAGTTCCAGAAGTAGAAGAGAGTTTTTCAAATGAAATTGATTCTTCTTCTGATAATGAAGAAGATATTAGAAAAACACCATCAAGACATAAATCCTCTCCTATTAAAGCAACAAGTGGATTATTTGTGTTTATAATTTCTTTTGAACCTAAAGAAGCAGTTAATTTCAAGAAAGCAATATATAAACATGAATTATTTGGAATTACAACTAAAATTGAAAGAGCTAACGTTATAGTAAATAAACATGGACAAAGAACAGCTGAAGTGTTAGAAGGAATTCTCAGAGGTATTCCTATTGTTGAAGAAAATTGGGTACTACAGTCTCATAAAAAAATGGCAGTTGAACCATTTGAGCCATATTTAATGAAAGACAAATTCCCAGCACTTAATCACAGTGTATTTGATGAATCACTGTTACAAAACAAAACTGTTGGTATTTATGGTGACTTAAAGATTAGAGATAATATTATTAAAAAATGGATTGAACAAATAGGAGGTAAAATTGCTACAAGAGCTAAATATTCTGATATTCTTTTGGTTGGAAAATCTATGTTTGCATCTGACGCAACAAGAAGAACAGAGGGTTTTGCAGTAAAAGAGGAGTGGTTATATGACTGTATTTCTGAAATGAAATTCATAAATCCTAAGAGTTATTTAGTTAATGGTGTTTTGAAAAAAGAAAAAGAAACTGAACTTACACTAGAGAAACCGGTGGCTGAGCAAGTTAAAGCTTCTAATCATAAAAGTAGAATCAGCCGTCATACACATTCAGGAGAAAAAAAAGAAAAACAAGATAATACTATTACTGAAACTAAAGAAGAAAAAGAAGGTTCACCAATTGTTGCTATGGAAGAAGAAAATAAGAAATAAATTAGTGAAGTTTTGAATATAAATGTATTTTAATGGTTAACGAAAGATTTGAATAGAAATACCCCAAGAATAACTTCCAACAAAAGGATTTGCTTGAACAGATAATAATAAATTGGAAGCTATTTGACGAAGGTTTGTTTGAAAACAAGAAGAGAGTGTTCCTTGAGTGTTAACTATTGTTTTAAATGATGAGTCTTGTGAGGAATGTTCAAAAGCAAGTAATCCATAAATTGCTTTTTGTGGTTTATTTTGATAAACAAATTGACAACCATAAGTAAGATATTGAGATGGTGAATAACGGAAAGTAGAGAATAATGTTTGATTTAATTGAGAATAAATAAAAGTAGAAATGATTTGAGGAGTAATGTTCCATAATAATCCATACGAATTTGTTCTTATTTTCTTACTTGGAATGAGACAACATTCAGTACCAACAGAACATGAGTCTGTTATTTTTTGCATTAAATTTAATACATATAAACCCCCTTTTTCATATCTCATTCCAAAACACTTTCCAAATCCAGTCACTTTCCCATCAATTCCTGCTTCAATTTCGTTGTCTTCTCCATTTGCGATTCGAAAACTTCCTGATATTTGCTTTGATAGTAAATTAAATGATGATAAAAAAGACCCTTTCATTTCATTATCAAGCCTTGCGATGACATTTCCCCAATACCCTGAATATAAGAATGAATGAATTCGATTAAACTTTTGCCCTTTTGGAGATGGTGGTTCTATAGTGAAGTAATGACCAGTTACTAAATTTTCATTATGTTGTTTTGTAATTTCAATCTTCATTCCATTAAAACATTCAGGTTGTAAAGAATCATTAATAGCTCCTATTGCTTCATATGGTTCACATACATAATGAGGATCCAATAATCCCTCCATCTTCTGAAATTTATAAGTTCATTTAAAAGGAAATGAACATTCATTATTTGTACCTTTCATTATCTATATTCTATTAAAAACCCTCCTCATTTTTTGAAATATATAACAAAATACTGATAAAAAATCAAATCAATCATTTGGAATAGCCTTTCTTATTAATCTTCTTTTTCATTTCTTTTGCTTTTTCGGCTTTAGCCTCAGCAACTTCTTTCTTAATTTCTTGAATATTATCTACTTCTTCACCTTTCATGACAGCATCAGTTTCAACAGGAAGAGGTTGTTGTGGTTCTTTGAGTTTTTCTTCTTTTAATTCTTCAGCTTTATTTTCTTCTCCAGGTTTTTTTCCTTTCAAATCTTCATCGATAATAAATGAAGTTTCTTCAGGGAATGACTTTTTAACAACTGTTAAGAATCTTCTTGTTGGTTTAAATTTGATAAGAGAGTTATACTCTTTTTGACAAATATCAAGAAGAGTAGGTTTTAATTCAGTTAACATATCTTTAAAACGAATGTCATCATCTTTTAAAGTAAAGGAACCTTTTTCTTTTAATGGATCAATAATTGAAGGTGGAAGGAAGTGTGTACTTAATGGATCAAGGATAAATTCTAATAATTCAATTCCACATTTATCAAAAACTAATTTTTGTGTCATTGCTTCAATACTATCAAGAACATATTTTTTCAAAGCCATTTTATCATCTACATGTCTTAACAAATATAAAATACAATAATGACCAAATTTGTCAGTCATTAATGAAATTAAATTTTCTTTACACTCTTTGAGAAGTCCTTTTCGTGCTTTAGCAGATGAATGAATAATTACAAATTTCATTAATTTTGGTCCTTCAGGTAAAGTTAAGAATTGTTGTAAATGTTCTCTAAGTGAAGCAGCAACTTCTGATGCATCTTTTTCATCAACACAACTAATATAGTCAATAAGAAGTTGTGCTAATAATGGGTTAGTTGAAACGTGTTGTTTGTTAAGAATTTTGAATACCTTATCTTTTAAATCTTTACATATAACATTTTTTAAAGTGTCATTTGAATTAATAACTTCAGAAAATGTTTTTAACTCTGGACTTTTACTTTTTAAAAATTCATATTGTGCCCCATACACTTCTTCAATTAATTTTCTTTGTTGAGTTTTATTAATAAATTCACATAAAGTTTTTAAAACATCACTAGAAAATTTTTGCATTAACATTTCAAAGATATGAGTATGATAAAGTTCAAGTAATAAACTTGGGACACTTTTAGAACAGTACTTTAATAATTTTTTTACAACATGATGTCCGTATTGGTCTTTAGTTAAATCAAAAATCTTTGGTTTTAGTTCAGTTAAAACTGTTTGTCTTTGTTCATTATCACCATTTTTAATAATTGTTTGAATAATTCTAGATGCATCTGGTTTAATTGATAATTCATACATTGAAGATCTTGAAAGAGTAATTAATTGTTCGATTTCTCCAGCACTCCATTTCTTATGAGTATTAGAATGTGAGTTAATAAGAAACTTCATTTGATTAACAGCATCTTCATTACTTTCTTTTCTTTGTTTCTTTTCTTGGTACTCTTTTTTTAGTTCATCACTAACTTTTGCCCCAAATGGATTACTTCGTTGTTTTAAAGGTTGAGTATATTTACCATTATTTGGTCTTTTAATTCCACTTTTAGTTTTACTTTGTTGTTGCTTTTGGTGAGTATTTTGGTGAGATTTTTCATGGTCACTTTTAGAGATGTCTTTATGTTTTCTTTGTTTTGGTTTATATCCTTGTTCAGTGTATGGCATTCAGAGTAGTATAATCCTTTTACTGTCTCTTTTTTCTTTTTTTTTAAGGGTTTTTTTCATTCTTTATTTAATTAGTTAATAGTTATAATTTATTTAACTATTTTTAAACTATAATTATATTTAAGAAAATATAATGGATTATACTGTTTTTATATTCTATTTTTTTCTTAGATAAAACGAATGTATTATATAATAATTTATAATCATTGTTACTAAAATAGAATAACATGACAATATCTATCTTAAAAATAATTGTTGTTGAATCTACACAGAACTATATGATTACAAAAGTCAATGGAAGAAAACAAAGAGCCATCTGTTTTCTCTGTTATACTAGACGCTTTCTCAACAACACTAACAACAATAAATAACCCTTCATGGAAAGAAATTTTTGATATTCAATTTAATAAAAAAACATTGTCATCGTTGTCTGATGTCATTCACTATTTTAAATCGTTTTCTGAGTTATCGTTTATTGATCTTATGACAGGTTATTTGATTTTATCACAAATATCAGAGTCTAATTACGATTCATTTCAGAAATACCAATTAATATCTAAAGGTTCTGTAGATATTCATTCTATACAAACAATTTACAAAGCAATTTCTCATTCAGTATCAGTATTCCAATGGACATTATATGAAAATTATGCTTCTAATGAAGAAAAAAGATATTATCAAAATAATAAAGAAGAAGTTTCTCGTTTAATTATCTCACAGTATAACCATATTCACCCAGACGATATCATCTTATTACAGTATAATTCAAAACCATTTTGCCCTGCACATTATGTTTGTGTTGATCATTCTATTGATGCTATAATAGTTTGTTGTAGGGGAACACAGACTATAACGGATTGTCTTGTTGATTGTTCATTTTATTATGAAAGTATTTATTGTGAAGGAGAATATGGGTTAATTCATAAAGGAATATATCAAACTGCATCAACAATATATATTTCTATTCTCTCAGCAGTGAGAAAGTTATTGACAAAATATCCAAAATACAAAGTTCTTTGTACTGGTCATTCTTTAGGGGGAGCTATAGCAGAGGTTATAACTTTATTGTATCGTTCAAGAAATAAAATGGTCCCTGTTTATTGTGTAGCATTTGGTGCTGTTCCTGCTGTATCTTCTAATATTGCTGAATTGCCAATATTTAAAGAATGTATTGTAAGTATAATTAATCAAAATGATATTGTCCCAAGAGCCTCTCATAGAGCAATGCAAGAATTATTAGAGAGAATAGATAATATTATTAATATTGTTGGGTATGATTTATATTATGAACTTGAAGATTCATTAGGAAAGAATGTAGATCTAACTGTTGCTCGAGTTATCAAAGAAAAAGACATTACATGGGACAAAATAAAAAATACAAATTATGTTGGTCAAGCTCTTCTTCCAATGGGCAATTGTATTGAAATTAGTGAAGGGAGGTGGTTTGAATTTGAGAATGAGGCATTTGGACAAATAGAACCAAAACAAACAGCTGTTTCTGACCATTCAAGTTATAAATATGAAAAGTCTGTACTTCAAAAGTATGAAGAAATTACTGGAATTAAACTAGTACCAAATAGAAAAGAAGAATACAAAACATTGTCATCTAAGTTTGACCTATGATATTAGTCAATAGAATCTAATTTATAGATATATATATATTTTTGTTATCAATTTAAAATATATCTAAAACCATGTATTTTTAATTTATAAACTTAAATGACCTATTTTCTATAAGATTTTTGGCATTTAGCCAAAGCTATTCAAAAGATAAGAAGGTACTATCTTTTAGATTATATCTAATATAAGTTTGAAAAGAAAATAAGAATAAAATTGAAAGTTTAATTTAATTACAAAAAGTCTTTACTTTATTTAAATGGAGAATTTCTCTATTTGTTAAAGGAATGGTTATAAAACGACATATCGTTATCTACTTAACTGATTATATGAAAAACACAAACGATAGAATTATATCCTAATCTTTTAATAATTTAATTTATAATGTAACAAATATTTTTTTAATAAAGATGATTCCTGGAGTGAGAAAAACAAGAATTTTTAAAGAGTATAAATTGAATTTTGAATTAAATAAATTGAATTTACCAATTGAGATAAAACTATAAACCACTCATATTTCTTGAAGAATAAGTTATATCCAATACTTTGTTATTAGTTCTTCAACTATGTTATAAGACACAACACCTGATCTATCTGAAGTGTTACACGAAAACTAACACAAAAGTAATGAGGCATTAGAATTACTGTAAAGAATTTAAATTTTTATAGATTAGACATTATATTTTTTAATTTAAAAAATTTTTATTATCGTTATATATAACAATAATTAAAAAAATATCATAACAAAACAGAAAAATGAACGGTCAATTTAAACTAAAGAAAGATTTTTCTTTCTTGTTTTAGCATTGTTGAACCCATGGTGATCCCTTAATGTCTCTATTATTCAATAAGCAATGAATTGTATAATCACCGTGTTCTGAAACTTTATAAGTAACTCTGTATTTAGCTTCTTTTAAATTTTTGATATCAATATTTTCTTGTGGAATTTCTGTTCCATTTTCATGGATAATTTTAACTGAGAATTTAGCATTACCTGGTTTAACAGGTCCTCCTCTTTTACTTTTAGCAAGAATAGTAAATTGGAAGCAATCAACTCCTGATTTTTGATTATCAACTCCTTCTCCAACACAAACTTCATATGGTGCTTTACCAACTTTATCACCATTAAGTTTAATATCAACTGTATAATCACCTGGGAATTCTGGTGCATATTTACAACTATAAGTACCATCGTTGTTATCAACACATTCACATTCTAAGTCATCTCCATTTGGATCATGAACTTTAATATCAAATTTAGCTCCTCCTTCTTTAATAGGATCTCCATTATAATCTTTAGCTGTGATAACAAATTCTGCATCATTACAATCATCAAGTTCTTCTCCTCCATCTACACCTGGTCCACTAACAACACATTACCAGCAGTAATACCTGGAGATTTCTGGTGTAAATGGTGATCCTTTATATGTCAAGTAGATGGAACTCTGGATTTCTTAAAAACTTCACAT